CAGCAGCAGCAGCAGCAGCAGCAGCAGCAGCAGCAGCAGCAGCAGCATGAAGCCAGTATTTGCAAAACTCTGCTCTTCCAGGGGCTGAACCACTCATAACAACTGAGCAGCCACATAGCATAAGGATAGCTAAAACCAGCACTTGATATGTCCATAACTGGGGCGGAATGGGGAGGGTAAGTCCCTCTACTAGGGGTATAATGGACATGTTGAACCCTTTACAGGGCTCTTGCAGAATGGCTTAAAAAAGTAAGGTAGCAAGCAAGAAACAAGATAAAGGAAACAGGATGTCATGCAATCATTCATGGTGATCTATGACTTCAAGTAAAACAGGGTCTCAAAACACAGAAGCCTTCTGAGCTGAGGAGGAAGCAATCTAACAGTGAACGACACTTAAAACTAGCTCCACAGGTCTGTGCTGGAGTTGGACAGAGAACAAACAGGTCCAGCAGGACCTGAATCAGCCTGGATCAGCTACCTGAGGCACAGCAGTGGTCCTCTTGCCACGATACTGCCATGCTCTCTGGCTCCAGATCTGGTGTCAGACTGAGAGTCTGGGCTTCCAAAACCAAAAAACATACATCAGTCCTCCCCATGCCAAATTGACCATATAAAACCTTTCTGTTCTTCACAGTCATGCAGTAAGTTGCTGTGTTGTGGCCAGACTGTAATCCAAAGACTCAAAACCCAAAAGGCTTATTAAAAAAATAAGAAAATGATTTTACAACCATCACTTTGAATATCAGAGACTAGGCAGAATCTTTAGCAAAAAAATCCCAAACCCAAAAGCATTGGAATTTACCCCAAAGATAAGAGGACTAGGTTGCATCACCTGCTGTAAGGAATTCTGCCTGTTTATCAGAAGTTTTCCTGTCTTACTTTCTAAAATGGCCCTAGATTCTTCCAGGTGCATGGGTGTGTTGCTCCCAGTTAAATGCACAGTGATTGGCACCCTGAAAGCTTCTGATTTTTGTGACTTGGACCATAGTTTCTTGTTGCCTCTGCCATTTAGTGCTGAGCTACTTACCCACAGACCATATGGCTGAAACTGTAGTATGACTCCCACCACAGAGATCTAAATGTGATCTTTGCATCTTGGACCTGCTTCTATACCTGAGAAATGGTTGTTGCACTGAACAGCCAAACCATACAGTGCTGAAGTAGAAGCTGCATTGACCAAGGTGCAGGTAGCTGTGTGAAATTGTTTGACAAAGTGACTTTTTGGAAAGGATAACTGCAACAACAATGGCCAGCAGATGTGAGGATTTCAGTATATTGCTGCTGTTGTCTTTTTTGAATATAAGAAGTGTGAACAGAGATTGCCTAACTTTGTTTTTGAACTCACCCAGCTTTTCCTTTGAGTCATTCATAGATGCTATGCCTCTTCTCAGTTAAATGGCACTCATTATTTGGGACGGTAATTCCCTCCATTCATGGATGTCTTGCATCTGTTTGACCCCAGAACTGAAGAAGCCTCTCTGGTCACATTTCACACAGCCCTGGAAACATATAAATATGCTGTGACTGTAGTGGTAGGCAGAGTTCCTAATGTTAAAATTTTCACTGCAAGTGTTGAAATTTTATGTTATTTGAAAGTAGCTAAGTGCTTGCTTGAAATAAGAAGCTAGAATTGATAGGCTGCAAACTCAACTTTATCTAAACTATACAGTTATGTTGTGTAAGTCAAAGATGAATTATAATGAAACTTGAAGTTAACAGCCTGAACATTAATAATAGAGTAGACAAAGTTGCCTAAATATTACTTAAAAATTAATTGCTAGAGTGAAAATCCCATGGATCGTGTGCTGGAGTGTGCCCAGAGCAGGGCAACAAAACTAGTGAAGGATCTAGAGCATGTCATATGCAGAGTGTCTGAGGGAGCTGGAGGTGTTTCTGGAGAAAAGGGTGCTCGGGGGGGACCTTGTCACCCTCTACAACTACCTAAAAGGAGCTTGTAGCTGGGTAGGGGTCGGTCTCTTCTCCCAGGTAACTAAGTGTCAGGACAAGAGGACATAGCCTCATGCTGTGCCAGGGCAGGTTCAGATTGGACGTCAGGAAGAATTTCTTCAATGAAAGTGTAATGAAACACTGGACTACCCAGGGAAGTGGTGGAGTCACAGTCCCTGGAGGTGTTCATGAAACAACTGGATGTCGCACTTAGTGCCATGGTCTAGTTGATAAAGTAGAGATCAGTCAGAGATTGGACTTGAAGATCTTGGGGGTCTTTTCCAACCTAAATGATTCTGTGATATGAACTGTAACAACCATGTTACAATATGGACTATGGAACTGGCCAAAAGCCCCACCAAAACTGACCCGATAGGATATGAAGATGACCATGTAGCAACCACTTGGTAATGAAACATTGAACTAGTGAAGAGTGGGAAGACCCCAGACCCAAATATTGCTGTTGGTCCAGACTGTCAAGTGAGGGATGGGGAGTTCAGATTGTATGACTATAACTGCCCAGGGTTTTCATCATTCCTGGTCCCTCTTTTGAGGCCCCTAACTTGAGCTGCTAGATATCATGATTTGTGCCAATAAACCTCTCTAATGGGAGATGACAGTCTAGTGTCAAAAATTTTGTTAATGACAAGATCAGATATGAAAAATCACACCTCTTAGGCTTTGTGCATTAGACAGAAGGCCATTGGTCAAAATGCAAATACTAAGACCATTTCCACTCTGTTCATCGATTCTCATCAGAGAAAGCTTCATGCTAGGAAGAAGAACCATCTCTTTGTAGCTGCGCTGTGGGGCTCTCAGGAGTGTTGGAAGTATCTACGATGAAGAGGAAAAGTTCAAGGAATGGAAGAAAAGACTTCAAGACAACTTAACTGAGGATTCTGAAGAAGAGAGTGTGCTATGAACCAATCAGATATATCATTACCTGAACAAAGACTGCTTGATTGAGAAAATTACTTTCCTGTGTTAACGCCCGTTCAAACATGTTGTACCCCCATGTTTTTATTCAATTTTATAATGTTCTTTCCCTCATGTTTAACTACTCTTTTCCCATTGGTTGGATTCTGCCACAGTGCAGAATCCCCATATTTGGTCATGTCCTTCCCCCATTCCCCTACTTGGGTAGAACTCCTCTCATGCTCTCCCTTTTAAGGCTTGTACCCTCCTTCCCTTATTTGTGAAGTCTCAGCCCCCGGTTTCAGAACCTTCCTTCTCCCCCCTATAAATAGGGGGAGCCATTTTGAATAAACTCAATCCTACAATCCTCCTCGAACTGTGTAGGTTGTCGTGCCATCCATTTCAAACTGTGTTGCAGGAGGGGAGGAAGAGCAGGGACTCTGGCTGCAGGATCACTGGCAAGGCATGCTGGGGAGCTCACAGCAAGCTGGATGGTGCAAGAGACCCCCATCACCCACAAAAGGAAGAGCTACTTTTTTGCAAGTTGTCTGCAAGGCCACTTACACCATTGTCTTTCTCACCATCACTGTGGTCAGAGGCACTACAGGTACTTCTGATTCTACTTTGGTACCAAGTCTCTGTTGAGGGCAGAGGAGGAAAAGACAGTGTGTCAGAGGGATTTATACTCCAATCTTCTTTGGGAAGGGAAAATCTAGTGGAAGGGATCTTTACAAATTGCTGAAGGGGCTTTTTGATGGAAAACCAATAACCTGCAAATCAAAACATTTCTGGCTGCAAATTGATTTTTTCTGTTGTCAGCCACTAAGATGCTAAACTTGGGCTTTTCAATGATTTGATGGAAACTGGTAATGATTTTCATGGAGTATAATATTTTTCATTATAATTAACAAATTTATTAAAAACCATGATTGATGGGAGGTTTTATGATTAGTCTGAGCACCATGTCAAGCTTTACTCTTAGGGATCAGTGACTTGTCCTGACAAATTAATCATACTGGGATTTTCCGACAATAGGTCCAGGTGAAAGTTTTAATAAGACAATGCAAAGGTTCTTTCTTCTCTCCAAACTCAGTTAAATACTCACCAGAGCTAATGTCAAAAATATGGGATCTGCAAATGCAGCTGTAATACTTCCCCCTTCTCCCTAATCTACTTTAATTTTGCAAATTTCTGTTTGGTTTTTTTGTTTGTCTTTGTTAGCACAGGTGAGGCAGGTCACAGAGGAGTGATCTTGAGTCTCTTGGGAATCTCTTAATCTTATAGAAAACATGAATGCGTACTTTCCAGTGAAATGCCATACTCCTCAATTATTTTAACTGTCACCACTATAATCAGGGAAATTTGTTCATATAAGCTTCGGAGTGGCAGGGCAGAAATTGCCTCCCATGCTTGACCTGAGTTGGAAGGTGGCTTTTGTCCAGAACAAAAGAAGGGTGAATGACAGAATATTAATGTCTCCAGGCATTCATTTTCCTGCTGTACTAGGCAGTGATGCTGAGGCAAAAGCAAACTGGGAGATCTCCCCACAGAAATCGGCTCTGCAGCTCATTCAGACGCTGCTTGCCAGTCATGTCATTTATCCACTGCTTTAGGGAGAGATTGAAAACAAGGCCAAATGTATGTGAACACAGCCATGAATTTGGAAAACTCTTCCCTTTTAAGAAGAGAGATTAAGTTCTTGGGCTGGCACAGACAGGGCCTCATGTTCACTTGTACCAGTGCAGATATTTCCCTGTGAAGTACAGACCACAACTCCGAGGCTGTGACATCTCCTGGCACATTCTCACATGTTCTTCTCCCTCGTTCTTTCCTTCAGGGAACAACGAAGTGTCAGTGACCATAGGTGACAGCTCAGTGCTCGCCTGCCCTCTCAAACCAAATATAAATATGCTAACATGGAAAATATATCCCAAGGCTGGAGGCCCCTGCAACTTGGTCTACAGGGCTGATACGAACACGACAGACGGAACAAACTGCAGTGACAGCATGAACTGGAAATTCAGACCAGATCTGTGTCCTGTGCTTGAGATACAGCAAGTGGGGATAGCCCAGGAGGGAAATTACATCTGTGAAATTGTAACACCAGAAGGGAATTTCCACGGGACATACCACCTGACGGTGTTGGGTAAGGGATTCCTTCCCTGTTTACAGTTCAGCAAAGGACCATGTCTGGGCCTGGACATACAAAACTGCTCTCCCCATGCACTGGGGAAACGTGGAGTAAGAAATGGAGCTTTTATTTAATTGAAGGAGAGTAACTTTAAATTAGGCATTAGGAAGAAATCCCGTACTGAGAGGATGGGGAAGCACTGCAATAGGCTGCCCAGAGAAGGTGTGAATGCCCCAGCTTGGAAGCATTTACGGCCAGGCTGGATGGGGCTTTTATCAGCCTGGTCTGGTGGAAGATGTCCCTGCCCATCGCAGTGGGGTTGAAAGGAGATGATCTTTAAGGTCCCTTCCAACCTAAGCCATTCTATGATTCTATCATTCTTGTTGGGATAAACCCATGCATTTCACTGAGAGTAGGTCTGGTCTCCCTTATCCTCATTTCCCAAAACTCTGCTCCCTTCTGCTGTTCCCTTTTCCACTGTCTAGTTAGAAACAAGAGCTGTGAAGCAATTTCCCATATACTAACAGAGGATACGGAGAATGGCTGTGGTAAGGCTCACCTGAACATAGGAGAGTTGTCCAAAAGGAAAAAAGAGGCGGGATCTTTGTCTCTTGTGAGTTGGATCCACATTGTTGCCATGGGATGGAACCTCCAACCCTATTCTCCTCTTTTCACTGCTTTCATTTTGGGTGGAGAAGAAGAACTTCCCAGCCCAACTATTCAAACTAACTCCATGTGTCTCCCCTTCCTGGTGCTTTGCAGTGCCCCCAAGGCTGAGCCTCTTCTGTGATGAGCACGGGAAGCCCGTGTGCGAGGCAGCGGCAGGGAAGCCGCCTGCTCAGGTCTTGTGGCTCCTAGAGAGCAACTCCTCCCTTGAGGAAGAAAGCCATGACAATGGGACAGTGACTGTTCTCAGCAGGTTGACAGCGTGTGACACCAACGTGACTGACACAACCTGCGTGGTGTTCCACCCAGCTGGGAGCTGGAGTGAGTCCATAGCCTGTTGTCCCTCAGGTAAGCTTCCCTTTGTGCATTTGCTGTTCAAAAGCCTGTTTAGCCCTCTGTTTATGCACTGAGCAAACATCAGTGGCACTGGCAGGATTGCAGCAGGAACTGTGCAGCTAAGTTTCCAGTGAGAAATTTGTTGGGAGGAGACAGGATAAACAGAAGTGCTGTCAGAACTGTAAAGCCCTTTGTGAAATTCTAGGAAAGGAGATGGATGCAGTGGTTTTCCCTCCCACCTCCAGGGCTGAATGGAAAGGCAGGATTATTCACAAGTTCATGACACACCGAGATATCTGTGGTATGATCACCCAGATCTATGTATTGTAATCCAGTGGTGCCATTATGTCTTGCTAATTGTTGGGTAACACATAGGTTGTGATAGGAAGACTGAAAGGCAGCTTCCAGCTTCCAAAGACTGGCTGGTAGGTGCAGGCTTTAGGTGGTGAAGGCAGCTACCTTAGGTTGTCCTCTGAAGAAAAGCACAAGAAAAGCATTGTCCAGAAGATGAAATCCTGACGGAGGCAGAAGGTAAATACAATCTTTGAGATGTACCTTAATGAGCAACTGTTTCTCTTTAGAAATTGGAAGGTTTCTTCACTGTGTCATCAGCCTTATGAGCCTCCTGGGCCTCTTCTTCCTGCAGGCTGTTTTTCATCTCTACACCTTCTGTGGTAGCAGGTACATATGGAGCATGGCAATCTGGTCATGCTCATGTGAGATCACAGACATAAAGCCTTATGGTATTTTGTTTCTCTACCAAATAAAGGGGGGGAATTCTGTTTTTACACCAAAAGTGCATTTCCACAACAGCTTCTTCCTCCTGCTTAAGAGTATTGTCTTGTTTCCTAGGACAATGAGAAACTAGTACCAAGCACAGCAGCTTCCATCTGCAGAAGTGTCTCAGCACTTAGCAGAGATGAAAGGAAGTCCCAATATGTCTTAGCAACGTGGCATGCAGCAAGAACTCACCGGTACCAAATTGTTCAGGAGAAGGAAGCAAACATCTGCAATGCAGCCATATGTGACTGTGCAGAAGCACGTCTGTAATCACTCATGAAAGTTTCGCTCTTTTTTTAGAAGACCAAGTCTAACACATATGCAATTGGAAATTAATTCATAATGTATAAACTGAGGTCATTCAATTTCAAATACTTTGTATCCTAGTATTTAAGTTGCATTTCTTACAGAATAAAATAAATCAAGAAGAAATTGTCTTGTATAATGAGCAGCAGCCTTCCCAGAATGGTCACACAAGACTGAAGGTAAAGTTGAGCAACTCTCACTTTTGTTATAAGAATTTTGAAGTGTCTCACAGAGAGAGAGAATAATTGAGCTTTGGCAGTTATTGCTACATGAAGCACAGAAATTATTACAGTCCTGAGATCTGTGTCACACTCTTTGTATAATCCAGAGAACTGCACCCCACAGAGAACAAGGTCTCTAATGTTAATTTCTTGAAACACGTCTTACTGGTCCTATCACAAGGGAGCCCTTGAGTTTAATCTTTCATTTGATGATGTACAGCCAGGCCTAAGCCTCTGACCCATAGAAGAATACCTGTCTAAGGCTGAGTTAGGTTTGCTTGACAAATGTAGTGAGGAGGAGAGGGGAGAGAACAAAGAACTCCAAGGTGGAACATGATCTAGATCTTCGTTGTTCATTTGCTGCTTCTACCTGTGCCTGACCCCATCTCAAGCTTTGTGAGCCTCATTTTGCATCTGAACCAGCTACTGCAGGCGTCAGGACCTAAACACCAGTAATAAAAAGATCATGCTTCTCAGTCTCAGCACACTAAGATTTGGAGTAGTTCTCTAGCTTTATACATAAGAAGAAATGCTATGTCACTTCACTCCTTCTCATGTGCAGGTTTTAATACCACCACCTTGCTGCCCCTCAGCCTCTCCTGGTGCAGCCCATAACCTGGTGTAAATTGCTGCCCGGGGAGGTTTCTGCAGGACACTGGTGGGATACAGACAGTGATTCTGCTGGCACAGCACCATGGAACTGCTCCTTTCACTCTTACAGACCCAGCTCCATTCTATCCATCTGTTGTCACATACAGCTGTTTGGTTCCAACAGAGTCTGCATTCTGCAGAGCTGACCTACAGTGTGAATGAAGTCAGAGATAAGAGCTAGAAGAACAAACAGTTCGGAAGCCAACAAAATTACTGTTAATTCTTTATGGTAACCTAACTACCCAAAGGCCAGCAAGCAGAAAACCACACTGACTTTAGCTGATATTTGTAGCTCTCCTGGTATCTGAGTTTCCACAGTGCACGTCAACTGCCTGCCTGCAAGTTGTACTCAGCTACATCTTATCTCTGCAGCAGCTCAGCAAGCCCTGAGCACTTGCACACACAAACCTACGTGCACAGAGCTTCTCCACCAGCACCCTCGCTGTAGGGTAGGACCATCCACAAAGCCACAGCTCTGCTTGGCTCTTACTAAGTGTGTTACAGACAAAGGGACTACACAGAGAAGACTCATCTTCCTTTCCCCTCCTCATGAGATTCAGGGCAAGTCAAAATTTCAAAGGTACCAACATGGGTGTGACCTCAGTTAGCAACAGCCCACTGGTGTCCATGGTATTCAGGACATGTTCTTTTTAAGTTCTGTTCACTAGGTTTCTTTACCTTTTCTCCAGTTTGGTCAGGTCTCCAGCAAAAAACAAAAATGCGTCACATCTTTAGTTGCAGTTTCCCATCAGGGACCAAAGAGACTTGCATACCAGAATCCACAGGGTTCTGTAACCAGCCTTGTGGTTACAAGGCTGGTTCCTACTCCTTCTTCTGTTTACTCTCAAAGTCATCTCAAAATCCTTCTGCAGGAGAGAGGATACAGCAATCTAAGCATTCTACAGCCTGAGTTTCAGCACAGTCTCCTGGACAACTACCAGAGCAACTAAGAACATTTCTATCCTTTTTCTCACAGTACATTGGTCTTCTTAATGGTGTGTCCACTACATGTTAAGGACAAATTTGATTGAAATGTGCTGGATCGAGGTTATAGCTGCTATTGCTGTTCTGATATTAATCATCAGGCTCCTGTGCTTCCATGGGGATTGTTTGCCTGAGGCTAGTGCTTATGAGTGATGGCTTTTTTCTTCCCCTGCTGGCTGTAGAGCTGTGCTGCCGATCACCTTATTCTGCTGATCCTGGGAACATTTGGATAAATGGCCTTGGTGATGCACCTGGGCTGGCAGGTGGCCAGGACATCGCTGCTGTTTCTGTGCTGCTGTGCTGCACAGGCTGGAACTCCGGTGTGAACTTGAGTCAAAGGGATTGTGGCCTGTGGATGAGCCCACATGGGAGTAGGACACCCTGGGAGATGTTTGGCTTTATGGCGTTTGTCTTCCCAAGTCACTGTTACATGTGATGGAACCCTGCTTTCCTGGAGATGGCTGAACTCCTGCCTGCCCATGGGAAGCAGTGAATGAATTCCTTGTTTTGCTCTGCTTGCACCTGCAGCTTTGTTTTACTTTTAAACTGTCTTTATTTCAACCCACCAGTTTTCTCACTTTTACATTTCCAATCGTCTCCCTGATCCCACTAGGGAGGTAGTGAGTAAATAGGTGCCTAATGGGGGCTTAGCTGCTGTTGAGGGTTAAACCGCAACAGCAGAAAGATATTGTTTGCCTTTTAATGGGACTTTTTTTTTCCTACATATATCCATTTTAAACTATTGTTCTCCTCAAAAAAGCAAAGCAAAGCAAATAAAAAAACCCAAACAACTCCACTATTCATCTCAAGAAGAGGAGGAAATTTCTAATGAATTCAGAGATTGCACTAATTTTTCAGCCCTCACTTCTAGATGAGAACTGCATTTTTTGTGTTTCAGTCTTTCCTCAGCAGGAATGCTCTACTGAGAGATCACAGAATCAGTTTTTTGTCACTTGGTTAGCCTGACCCAAAGATCTACATAAAACCCTTCACATACCATGTTCAGTTGCCACCTTATCTCAGAGAGGCCACTGCAGCATCACCAGCTGTGTCTCTTCTATGTTAACATCATTTCAGTTTTACAAGTCTCCAGTACAAGCCTCTCCATGCCCCTACTACTTCTGTCTGAGTATGATGAACAGACACACCGGGCAACTGAAAGGTGGTCTCACTTCAGAGTATTTGTGAGGCTTGGGAAAAGGATACAAACCCATGTCATACCACTGACAAGCTGTCACACCAACCTGTAGATCTACCTGCTCTAGGCTGAGTAAGGCTGGAAAAGTTCAGTAACTCTTATGAGTTTACATCTTTTTACTTCAATGTCCCCTGATGTCCATGAAGCAGTAAGACGTGCCGAGGTTACACGTAACAAACATGTCAGAAAGGACATTAGCAAGTCTCTGTAGTCTCATGCACCAAGATATGAATAACAAGATAAAAAATATGTGGAGCCATATCAATAAATGTATTCCCATGCAAATGTAAGAGAAATAACTTTTTCAGTCAACATTTGAATCAGATAAAAGGTTAGAGATGAAGAGAAGAGCATTTCTCCCCCCACATTCACCCAGATGCTTAATTATTCTGCATGTCAGCTCATGACATAGCAGCAAAATATTGCACTTGATGCCTAAGGGAGCATCATTTGGTCTTCCTTGGAGCACAAAGGGCACATGGTTACCCAGTTCTTGACTGTACTCTGCAGTTCAGGCTAGGATTGGATGTTCTTATACAGAAGAGGCCTATCTTGAAGAGAAGTCTAAATATTCTAATGGAATTCAGGGGTAATTGATATGGGGAGCATGGAATGGGGTAAAAGGGTTGGGATATGTGTGTAGTTACTATGCTAAGTGTAAGGTAAGGGAATAAATGTTGCTGCTTCTAAAACCTACATTTTCTACATAACTACCTATAAAAATTAGAAAAATCAAAAAATCAAAAGGACCTTAAGGCATCACACTAATGTAGCATTTGGCATTATAGTGGTGGATGCAGTCCTGGGTGAGTTATTACTCTATGTTACAGTCATTCCTAATACTGCTTTGAAGAACAGTATAGCCTGAGACTTGAGACAACTGAAATTACCACGTAACTCTAGAATCTGGGAGTTTATTTTAATCAGATGTTTCCTTTTGTTTCTTCTTCAAACATGAACCCAGGTTCTACCTCACCCTTATTTGCAGAAATAAAAGAAACATATTCTAGAAAGCATACTTACACTGGCGAGTGAAAACATACCTAGCACAATGGAAGGCATTTGACTGATTTGAATCAGCTGAGCTTTGCACACACTTGTCAGTACACACCTCATTAACAAGCACACTTGCATTTAATTCCGCTTTGCATCCAAGCAACATGCTACAGACAGGAGCCACCACTAGGCTGGCTCAAAATTTCACACATGCCATGGAGAAGTTGCACTGGTCCCTCCCCATTAATGCCTGTCAGGCTGATATTGGAGCAGTAGCGTCATCACTGCAGGTGGGCGTATCCAGCCAGAGCATGAGAGAAAAGAAAAAGCCAGCATCTCTTTTAACAATTATTTTCTGTGTACCCAGCCACAGATTTCACTTCTCTCAAGGACAGCAAGGCTCAGCATTGCACCCTGGACAGCACAGGATCATAAGCAAACTGACGCTTCACCACAATTTGCAGATAATCCATTCTTGAACTCTCTTCAAGGAAGAAAGAGAGCAGATCTCAGAACAGCAGAAGAGACTACTCTGAGTTCCAGCATAGTGTCTGTGTCAAACAAGTGAAAGACAACCCTATTAAGCTATCACCAGTACCAGTACTGGGTCCTACAGACCTAGTTTGCCTCAGCTGCAGGTCATTCCAGCAAAAGCCCAGCCACAGATGGGCAAAACAAGGAAGCCCCTCATTAATTCTGTCTGCATAGTCTTTCCCTGTGGTCTGTGTACACTGCCACATTGTGACTGACTGTACAATAATGCACATATACTATGCAGTTTTCTTACTGCTTCCAACTGCTTCATATTTAAACCTTTAATAATGTGCATTTAACGTATGATTTTCTGTGCTTTTTTTTTTCTGATCATCTTCTTGATGTAGAATGTTTACACTGATGGTACAAAGTGAACAACGGGTAGGTGGAGCTTCTTGTGAGAAAACCAGCCATTACTTCTAACTTTCCATTACCAAAACAAACCGAGATCAGTAAGTTTCAAGTCTTCCCCGTCACACACGCTTATTTGCAAGGCAGCAAATCTGTGACCACAGGTTCTTTATGTTTTACTCAGTGTATCTGTCCATCAGAGGATTATGAAAATTCCACCCACATCTTCTCAGCATTTGAGTTCCCTAGTGACCTCTGTTCCACCTCTCCCAAGCCAGCAGTACCTTGCTAGTTGCACCTCTTAATCTTCAGTATATTTACTCACAC